CTGGGAACTGGCTGGGGTGCACCACCAGCGGTGGACACGACGCCCGTCATGTTGGGATTGGTGGCCATTTTTGTTCAAAGTAACGTCGAGGTGTGTGCCGATCAGGAAACAACGCCCTCTGGGGTCTTGGCAAAGTTGAAGCGCAGCAGCGCGTCGGGCGCGAGGCGTCAGAAGCTCGGCTCGGGCGTCGGAACAGGCAAGCGATGGGCCTGAATACGGGGGCTTGTGCACGTGGCGGGCAGAAGAAACGCCCAATCCTTGTGCAACCTGTGTTGTAAGGAGGGGCAGAGTCCGGCGATGGTCAGTCGCGGCAAGGAGCAGCGACGTCAAGTCTGTTGACGTTTCTGCGTATCCACGTGCTTTGGGGCAGCGCACCTCTGTTGAGCCGCGCAAGCTTGACTGAACGACAGGAAGACAAGAGCCACTACAACACGGAGGAGGAGGCGGCCCACAAAAAAAGACGCACAGTGACGAGCCGGGCGCGCAGCGGTGATGCGGCCAGACACGTGTAACCAACGCAGTCGTCGACCTCGACTTTGACCGAATCAACAAGAGGGAGCGAAAATGGCAGTCAAGCACACAAAAGGACTCATTCGAGAGACAGAGACAGAGAGAGATGAAGAAGAGTGAGAAGAGAAGCGAGAGAAGAGAGACAAGAGAGCAGAGAAGAGAGAGAAGAGAGACAAGAGAGCAGAGAGAGAGAGAGAGAGGGAGAGAGAGCAAAAGGAAGAAAGAGAGAGGAGAAGAGAGACAGAGACAGAGACAGAGAGAGCGACAGAGGCAGAGACAGAGGCAGAGACGGAGGCAGCGACAGAGAAACAGTGTGCACAGGGAAACAGAGCACAGAGGCAAAAGCATTCACAGAAAAGAAGGATTAAAACGTCAGAGAGATGTCCAAAGTGCAAAGTGGAGGGTGTGCGTGTCGTGTCGTCGAGCAGGAGGGGTTGATGGTTCAGCGGGTGACAACAGCGGGCTGGCAAGTGGGGTGCTGCTGCTTTGCTCAGGGAACGGCCCGCTTGAAATTCCTGACCCGAGCACTGGCCAGCGCTGCCGTTTTGATTTGAATGCCCCTCTTGTGCCACTTCATCAACTGCTCCTAAACTCACTTGGTTTCGTGTGCCAAAAAGCTAAAGAACAACAATCTGTAGTTATTGAAGAACACCAACATAATCACAGCTTAAAACCGGTGAGAAGATGAAGAACCTGAAGAAGAAGATGCAGCGTTTACCAACACTAGCAGTTGGTAGCGGCTCAAGGAACATTCCGCGCCCATTGGTGTAGAATGTGCATAACCTTACACTTTCGAAGAAAACCCAGTTACATTTGGTAAATGACCAGCGCGCTTGCGCAAGCGACCCAATGGCGCAATGGCGAGCGGCAGGGACGCGGCTGGCTCGGCTGCGACCGGATCAGTCGCTGTCGGTGGCTCGCCAAGCCGTGCAGGAGGCGGCCGAGCTGCTGGGTACGCGTGCAGGCCAGCCTATTAGATTTGACCCTGCCTGGTGCAACTGGGTGCCTCGGGAGGACTTTCGGGCGCAGTTGGTGGACCCGCTGCAACGCATCGACAAACTGCTTTCGCCAAGCGCGAGCGCGGATGGCTCCGACTGGTTGGCTTTTGCTCGTCGCCCCGACGTCCGCATCTTCTGCTTCCCGCCGCAATGCTGAGCTCATCATTCCTGTCTCGGTGTGTTGCCACAGCGTGGCTGCAGCACGCACATTGAGTGCAGAGCTACCGCGCTGCCTCCTTCACGCCAGCCAGCAGCTTGTCACGTGGAGCCCGCCCAGTCGGTTGCGTCTCGCTCGCACCCTTGAGGCTTACATGCCCTACTTGACCTGGTATCGACTGGTTGCCAACACTTTGGCCAACCATGGTGATCCGTCCGCACCGGTCGTTCCCGACGCCCTCTCCCTTTGGCCCAACCAAATGCAAGCCGTGAGTGTGCCAGCCCTCCTGGGCATCATCCAGCAGGCTGCAGACGATGCTGCAAGTCTGATGCTGGAAAAGTATGGCGTCGGTGCTCCAATCCACGTTGAAAAAAAGGATGGGGACGCTTCGGATTGCCATCACCTCTTGGCTGTTCCCGAACACTTGGCCTACGCATACACGGAAGTTTGCAAAAACGCCCTTGGTGGGTCGCCATGCTGCTGCAGCTGCGTCCCGCCACGGTTCTCTCCCAGGCCCTTGGCTGACTTTTGAAACTTATCTGGTGCCCTTGGTTCCCACCTCGCTCTTTGTATTGAATGTCATGATCGTTGTAGGCGCCATGCATCGTCGCTACGGGAGCGATTGTGATCTGGAAGCACCTGTCGTTGCCACTCTTGCTGTTCGCGCCGACCCCGAGCCCGCCATTGTCGTGACCATCGTTGACCAAGGTGTGATCGGGTCTCTTGCTGGTCATTCCTTCTGTTCTCTTTTTCAGCTCTCATCTTTGCTCACGCCCGGACGCGATGCAGGCGATGGCTTGTCACGTACCAGTGTGCCAGACGCCATGCGATGGTTTGCCACGGGCTCGGCGCCAGTTGAGCGCGAGCCTAGCTACACCTTCTCAGGAGATTTTGGTGGAGAACTGAGTGGCAAGGGGACGGGCATGCCCTTGAGTCGCTGTTATCAGACAGTGGCTGGGGGGCAACTGCATCTTGAACCCACGACCCGTCAACGTGGCTGCAAGGTCACTTGTGTCCACCCCCTCCTGAGTGGGTCAAAATGACCCTCCCTTGAGCTGCGCTCACCGTACCCGATTTTTACAATAGCTGTAGTTGATGTTGCTTGCTTCAAGTGATGATGTTGTGTGGCAAGAGTGTTGATATGTAAATCGCTTCAATTGCGGTGGCACGGATTCATCAGCCCATCGACGGAACCAACGTACATCATTCAGGAAAAGAACGGAAAACAAACAAACCAAAAAACAAATGGCGACAAAAAAACCGCAGCGCCGGCCTCCCAGTGAGAAGAAAAACGTTTAGTACTGACGACGTCGCTTTTAGGTGTGCCAGCGCCTCGTTGCAGCATCGTCACTGTGGACGGGCCCGTGTCCTCAGGACTGGGCTTGACTAGTTTAGCATAGGCTTGAGGCAGGTGGCCACAAAATCGCCAAACTTGGCGGGCTTGCTCCCCTTGAACTTGCTGACGTCCGACTCGATGTCTTGGCCACTACACACACGAACCAAAGAAAATTGTTAAAGGAAAAAAGACGAGAAATATCAGCGAAATAAGACGGGCATGCTTGTTGCGACGAGACAAGACTCGGTGCATCCCTGTGGCATAACAAACCTGCCCTCGCGGAACCAGGCCATTGTTTCCACCTGTCCCTTGGCAATCCACGCAGCCAGTCCATTTTGCTACGTTTGGTGAAGCCCCGAGCAGAGCAGTTAAGGTGCTTGGTGAGACGGCGTGTGGGGGCCAGATTTGACGCCCGCGTGTGGCACATGCTCGCTGGCAATGATTCGTGCTACCACAATCACGCACCTCAAGCTGAGTGACGGCCTCATCGTCAGTAACAGCTTGGTAGTTGCACTGCACACCAGCCTTCATGGCGATGGCCGTGGCCTAATCGTCGTGCACAACCATTTCCAGTGAGAAGTAGTGCGGAGCATCTTGGATGCCGTGACCACGCAAGCTGGTGCCACGCGCGAGCAATATTAAAGAGCCTACAATTTGATTGCCGGCTTGATATTCGCCAATCAGGTTGTAAGTGCCGGCGGCAAACTTGCTCGGTTCAGCCAGGACTGCCGCAATGCACTAAAGGAATTGCGCAGACCATGCGCGTGGGGCCGTGACAATGGGGTGTGATGGCATGATGGGGCAATGAGGTAATGGGGCGCATGGATGGGGCGCAGGTGACGACCTACCGCCGCAACGTCTTCCACATCGACGTGGGGCAAGTACTTGTGATCGCCCAAAGGCAGCGTGAGGGTGCCCTGCTCGATGGCACGCAGGCTGCTGTACATGTTCTGGTAGAATGGGGCGCAACGAAGAATCACGGGCACGAACAAAGCAGAGCCCGTGTCGCCAGCTCCCGTGTTGACCGGCTTTCCAGCCTTGCTCATGGCATACTCTTCAATTTCAGCGAATTGTTGTTGAAACTTGGTCTCCTTGCGGTCTGTCAGGCACAAAAGTGGGCAAAAACGGCAAAACCCAAGGGTCAGCAGAAAAGGCCGACGAGAGCTGAGGTGCAACCCGGCAGCAGGCGCCTTTGGGCCAACTAGCTCGCAAGCTTCTGGAAGCAAGGCATACCGGCTTGTAGCACGCTAAGAATGACCGCGTGCTGCACACCGTGGGTGAAGCAAGCATCGATAAACTTCTTGGTGACGGCCACGCGCTCTGTGACACCACAGTTGATCTGGTCAAGGATCTGGCGCGGATCATGCCCCAGCAGCCCTGACAAAGACAAGCAGGGCGGACGGACCGAGAGAGGTCGGAACGGCAAAATACGCAGCGTTGACGCCCTCAAACACGGGGCCGAGCATGTGGGGTTGGTTGACGTCACCCTTGACCACCTGTCGAGCGTTCAGCCAGCCGTTGCGAGCCCACCATGTCGGTTTGAGTACGAGTCGAATCGGCAAGGGAGGGTGCGGGTCAATATCAGCGTTAAGAGTCGGGAGCAGGGGTTGACCTCGATATCAAACTCCTCGACATCGGCAGCGCTCTGCATGCGGCGGACGACGCCGCGCACTTTGACCTTGTCGGCATACTGCTCGGTCAGACACTCAATGGCAGCCGTGCCCGTGTTTGAGTTGGCTGAGAGAATTGCTACAGTTGGTGCCATGGTCTGATGGCAGTAGCAGTACGAATGTGACAGGTCATTGGTGAGCTTCGCCCTGCCCCGCTTGCCATGAGCCGATGTGATGTGATGGAGCGGGGTGCAGCTGGAAAGCAGAAAGCGAACCGTTGGTTTCTGGGTTGACTGGTGCTCAAGCGTCCTGTTACATGGGTC